ATCGTCTCATCGAGACGAATCGAATGGCGGTAAGATCATCTCTCTACGATTAATATTGGCTGAGTTACTATACAATAAAGTTTTTAGTATAATTTTGGTTAAAATTATGTTAATTTTTGGCCGGAATTATTATATACTAATATAAGAAATTTTTTATATAGTCACATCTCTTTATAATCACCAAATATGGACTGTCCCAAATGTGTGACTATAAAGAGAGTTGACTGTATTTTTATATATTATATTTTATTAAAATTTTTTTTTTTTATTATTATTATTTATTTTTTTATTTTATTTTTTAATTTTTTTTTTTTTTTTTTTATTAATATTAATCAGTAATTTATTTATTTTTAAAAATATTATATAAAAAATACTTAAAATTTATAGTAATTTTTTTTAACTGGATTTTATTTTTGTATATTTTCAAAGTCTTAATTTAGGGTTTATAAAAATAATAAAAAACTTGATTTAGAATTTAAATATAAAACAGATTAAATAACTAGAATTAATCTGATTTTTTTAGTATTATTTATTAGAAAAGAAAAGATCTATATAATTTTTTAAATTTATTTTAAATATTATTAAATTTTACTTATTTAAGAATTTTTTAAAATCCTTTTGAATTTAATCTAACTTATTAGGTAAATTATTTTTTTGTTTGATTTAAATTAATTCAGATTAATTTAGGTTTAATTAGATAATTAGATGATATTAAATGATTTTTAATTTTTAATTTTTTAATTGTAAAATTCTTTAAAAGATAAATTTTTTATAATGCAAGTAAACTATACTCAACAATAAAATTGTAATATTAAAAAATCTTATAAAATTTTAAAAACTAAATTTTAAAGAAAATAAACTGGTAGTTTTATACAGTTTTATTCTTTAAGACAAGTACTATCAAATTATCGATCAGATTTTTTGAAAAAAGATCTATATAAAAAGTTATAGGCGTTAAAACTAACTGATTTTTATATGATCAATCTAAATTTGAAATAAATCGAATCACATGTGCTCTATCTTATTGGTTAAAAATTTTTATAATTCAGGTAAAATTATGATATTTCAATGCTGGTCTGAATTATCACATTTATTTGATCATGAGAAAATTTCTTTAACAATGAAAAAACCTTCTAATTCATAAGAAAATCATTACATGTGAATAAAAAAATTTCAGTCTGGTTTTACTGATACTACTTAAAATAAAATAACAACAAGTTAGTAAGATACCTAAGAAAAAAGGTTATTATATATTACAATATCATGTAATTCAAATATGAAGAGTTTCAATGAATAAATTTTTTATTTTAACATAAAATATTATGTATAAAACAGTGTAACATATAAAAATTTTCATTTTTTATTGAACAATGTCTGATCATGTGATATGAAAACTTGCACCAGAAAATTGAAACATTATCACATGATTGTCGAATATAGTTTACTTGCACTATATTTAGAAAATTTTTTAAAGAAAAGTAATATTTATTATAAGAAAATTTCTAAGTTTACATGGGGTGTTTGTACACGGGTTATATAAATATAATTTTTAATAGATTAATTTTTTGTTTTTTAATTTGAAATTGAATGCTACCGACATTATACTCTTTTACTTTTTATTCTTATTATATTACAGATAAATATATGTATTTTCACCTGCTCTGCAAGTTTACTTAAGGCATTAAAGGAGGTTTTGAATGCCGTTTTTAATCTACTAATATGACCCGTGTTTAAACACCCCGTGTACAAATAGAAATTGCCT